GCGTTGGGGCTGGCGCGGTGGCGGTAGGAGAACTGCCCGCCACCGCCGCAGGTCCGGGAGCAGGAGCCCCAGGGGCTCCACGGGCCCCAGCCACCGTCCACCGCCGGCTGCAAGAGGCCACAAGAAGCTGCTAGATCCGTCCCCGAGCTCATCCATCCCCAGCTGCTCGCTCCCAGGGTGAGCAAAGGTCTGGAGGAACGTTAAAATCACCCCCCAGCTCCTCTCCCCGCGTCACCAGACGGGGCCCTGATCCAGCAAAGCACTTAAGCACATACTTCACATGAAGTTATTACTGACTTCCACCAGTCTGTTCATGTGCTTAAAGTTAAGCTTGGGTTTAAGTACTTTGTTGACTGACTCGGAAATTGCCGCTAATTCCCTCGGCAGGGCAAAAACTGATGATTTAATTGCAGAACGGCGGCTGCTTGCTCTGGTTCAGACCAGCCTGAGCCTAAGCGAAAGGCACAGCAGCGTTTATCTACGAGCCGGGCTTGCCAGTAATAAAGATTAACAAAAGGTGCCGTTGAAGGAGAGATATCCAGAAAACAAATCAGGCAAATCCAAAGCTAGTCCAGGAGATGGCAGGACCGGGGCCAGAGGTTTGGGAATCCCAAAGGCTTGAGCCCCAGCCCATCAGTCCCCAATGCTGCCCATTACCTGGGGCATCAGGGCGTCCTGCGGCACGCAGCGTCCGTCCCAGCACAGCCCGCCGGCTTTGCAGGGGGTGCCGTCGGCCCACGGCAAGCTGCCATTCTTGGTGTGGCAAAGGGGCTCCCCGCTGCCGGTCCTGCACCAGAGCTGGGCGCAGATATCCTCCTCCGTGGTGTTGGGGCAGTGCTGGAAGTCCTTGCCAAAGATCTGCTGGCATTGCTGGTCCAGGCTGTACAGGGCTCCTCGGCCGGGCAGCTCGGCGGGCAGGGAGAGGGGGGCGGCCGGGGCATCGAGCAAGCAGTCGCCTGAGCAGGGCAGAGATGCATCAAGGCTTGACGCCATGGGTTGCACCAAGCGGGGCACCCCAAACCTCTGTCTGTGGTCTGATTTGACCCCCCCTTCATTCCACACACCCCTCAAGGCATTGCAAAGAGCCTGAGCAATTAAGGAAAATGCTTTCTTGAATGATGAGCTCCTTACCATGCCCTCCGTCCAGGAACTCGGTGAGGTACATGGCGCTGCAAGGGGACCACGGCTGGGTCTTGTTCAAGTGGATGAAAAGAGGAGCCATCATATGGTGCTTGCCGAGGGGCCCGAAGAGCCGCTCGCAGGTCTTGGAGTCATCGTGGGGCATGCTGAGCACGTGGCCTGGGGAGCAGAGAGCATCGGTGAGCCGCAGCCTCCCAGCCCCTGCTCTGCTGCAGGCGATGCGCGGGCAGCTGGGAGCATCTATCAGTTATCACACAGTTTCTATTGCTGCAAAAGCTATTTGCTTCGATAAATCAGAAGCAATAAACAAAATGGTGCGTGCTTGCTCTGCCTCAAAGGTACAGCCCGCTGTATGCAGGGCAAAGCAGCCTAAATTAGTCAGCGCATCTCTAGGAACAGCAAACCAAGGGGGAGAAGTGCTTGGTCCCATGCCTTAGCTCATCACATCAGGCAAATGCACCAATTTACACCAACTCAGGGACTTCTAAGCACATTTGCTGGTGCAAACCAGCTTCTGCCAGTGCCAGAAGCTCCTCAGTGCTGCCCAAGGCTCGGCGGGTGGTACCCAGCCGGGAGAGGTGGGCGCTGGGCTGCGCTACGTCCCCTCCCAGCAGCGGGCCTGGCCACGCCAGACTGAAAAAGCAGAACCCCTCCTCGGGAAGGGATGCATTACCCAGTTCGTGAGCCAGGGTGTAGGCTGCCTGCAGGCCCTCGTCCTCGATCACCGAGCAGCTTTTGTTGCGGTCGCACATGGTGCCGATATCCGCCACTCCCAGCGTGTCGCAGCTTTGGTGTCCGCAGAAGTCCTGTTTGCGAGCAGCGCCGAGGCGGGTAAGGCAGGGTGAAGGGGTCCCACATTTGGTAGCCCCAACATCTCCGAGCAGAGCTGGGCAACCCACTGGGGCTCTGCAGGCCAAATGCAACCCCCCCCATTAATTTGCTGCAAGCTCCATCCTTTGCATGGTGGGGGGATCCCTCCTCTCCCTGCAGGGACACCTCAACCCCTTTCCTCTCCCCGCCAGAGCATCCCCAAGGGACCCTCCAGACCTGTCTGGTCAGCAGGATGGCAGTGTCATAGTGCTCCGGGTGCCGGTCGCTCGGGGGGTTGAACCTTTGCTGCCAGCTGCAGAAGTTGCGCAGGGTGAGCCCGCCGTTGTCGGACACCTCCGGCCCTGCCGTCGCCTCGTCCACCACCAGCACCTTCACCACCACCAGGTTGATGGAGTTCTTCAGGCTGGGGTGCTTGTAGATGCGAGCAGCCATGGACATCAGGGTCAGGACGTGGTTCTGCAGGGAGAGAGAGGGGCAGGAAAAGCCTGGGTGAAACCTTTGCCTCAGGGCTCTTTTTTTTTTTGGTTAGGAAAGGAGAAATCAACCTCATTTATGACACCTACCACATCCAGACTGACTCAGGCATCCACCTGGGTTGATGGACTAAGTGCTGCCTTTTCTATATGGGATGCTTTACACCTTGTGCTGGTGGGAAGGACGGGCAGGACAAGCCCACCCCTCCATCCCCCTCTCCACCTGCCACGAACCCTTTGCACCCAGAAACCCTTCGGAAAAACCTCACGTGTCCCAGCGAGTGCTCTTGCATATTCCCAAAGCATTAACCCTGCCCTCGTCGCCCTGAAGCAGGAACCGCCTTGCGCAGAACCTCCCGTGGGTGCAAAACCACTCTTGCGTGGTTGTAAAACTCCTGCCTGCGCTGGTCGGCAGGGTTTGAACCCAACGTCCTCGGTGACAAACCGGGGCCAAAGCACTTTGACAGCCAAGTCTTTACCCAGCCGCATCCCCTGCTCGGGCGACTGGGACAACCAGAGATTACTTAATATGTCAAACGCGCCAGGGGTGTTTAGGCTGATGTAAACATCTTATCAGAGCATCGAAATTCCTCCTCTGCTTGGCACCCGTTCACGGCCCCGGAGTCAGGAGAAAAAAATGCAGCTATTACACAATATAGTATTGGGAAAGAGAAAGTGGCTTCTCTCCTCCCCAGGCGAATTACACCCCGCGGTCTCGCTTCAGCGCCACTATCTAATTAAACTGGAAGGACTCGGTGAGAGCCCTCTCCGACGGCTGAGTTTCACCCAAAATCCATGTTTCCCGAGCGGAGCTGGCTCTGCACGCTCATCCATCACGACGCTGCCGGGACAGCGATATGCACCAAATGCTATTTTCTTAGCAAACAAGGGAGATGTTTAGGGAGGTACACCCCTCCTGACAGCAGCGGTGTATTTGCTGCACTGAGAGCCACTCGCCCAGGGCAGTCACGGCTATTTTAAATTATTCTGCCACATTTTATCCCCTCGCTGGCAGCTCCATGTAAACAGATGTCTCGCTTCAGCAAGACGTATCCCAAGTCCTCCCCAGCTCATTATCTGAGGGCAGGCCCCGGCAAGGATGATGGGAGCGCTGAATAGACTGGTTTATTTAGACTGGCCAGATCTCCACAACATGACTCACATCCCAGCCCAAAGCATGCAACAAATGTCACGGAGAAGTCACCGCCGAGGCAAGAAACCCAGGTGAGATCCCCGCGAGCGGTTGCTCCAGGGGACTGTTTACCCCACAGGGAAAGTCCATTGGGAACCTTCCTAAAAATATCACAAAGCTGTCCTAAAATTACATGTGTGAAGACCTAGAAGGCTGCTCAGCGCTGGAGCTGCGCATCATGGGATCATCCCTCGCTTCCAAGGGAGCAAATCCTGCCCCATCCGTTTTCAGCCCATTACAGGTTTCTCTCCATCCTGGTAGTTGTTACCAGGGAGCTCTCAGTCCCTGCTGCAAATCCCCCGGGACACCAACCCTCGCATCCTCAGGGTTACATCCAGCCAAGAAACTCTTTCAGCAGCAGGAGCAGAGGGACTTGGAAAACATCCGTCCGCCTTCCCTTCGTCTGGAAAGTGAAGAGGGAAAGCGAACCAAACAAAGAGCTATTTAGTGAAGATTAAAAGGTCAAATTCGCTTGTTCCATCATCTGGTGTCTATTTATACCCGTCCTTGGACTGTGCGGGAATTGGTTGGGTTTCGGATGGACCCTGACTGCTCCGGGGAGAGCGGCAATCCACCTGCATCGCCTTGGCTTGGCCAAGGGTTTAGAGCTGGGTCCAAAAGCAAATTATGGGATCCCCAGGGCTCAGGAGAGGCTGACCGAGTGCTTTTGGCCAACAACCGGCTGCAAACGAGTTGAATCCCGCTCATCCCATCCTCCCCATGCCTTTGCAAACAGGCTCTGGCTTGACGAGCCACCCAGGAGGGAACGCCGCCTTCTCCGGGGTTTCCTTCCCGGCATCGAGGCTGAGGATGTGGCTATTGGGATTGGATGCAGGACAGCCTCAGGGTCGGGTTTGGGGAGCCCAGAGGCACAAACGGACTGGTTTCTGCCTCCTTGCAAGGCACCGCGGCACAGCGGGCGCAAGGCGCTTCCCTGCCATTTCCAGCCACCATCCCGGGAGATTTTGGCGGGATTTCTGTCCAACCAGTAAATACAGCTGGAAAATCAACCCCTTACCTGCTCTGTGGGGAGAGGACACCAGCCCAAGCCCGAGAGGATGGCGGGAGCATCCCTCCTCTGCCCCATGCAGGGCTTGTATGGCCAGGCACAAGCATCGCAGCTGAGCCACCCCGCTGCGGAGGCAGCACAGGGGTTTCGACTGCCCGGTGATGCCCCCCAAAACCTCCTCCCTCTTTTTACCCCAGCTGCAATCCTTGGCTCCCTCTGGTCTCAGGAAGATCAAATTCCTTTTATCCGACACACCTGCATTACAGCAGCTCCGACATCCCTCCTGCCACAGCATCACTGCTTCTGGGAGAGCCCTAAGCCAGGCACACACAGGTACTACCAGTGTTGCCCGATGCGAGACTGCCCGCGGCAAACAGCACATGCAGAGGGTTAGAAATGGAAAAAATAAATACAAATCAGAGCACAGGGAACTAAAGTGGTTGTTTTTAAGCTGATAATGTTGTAGGAATTCACTTTCTGATACAGGCTCTTGCAAAATCTCTGCTTTCTCCTTCGTGGGAAGCACTTGGAAGCTGAAGTCTGCGGAGATCCCCAAACTGTTTTGGTTTTTAATTATTATTAGCTGG